TTTTGGGAAGCGTCTCCGTCCAGATTCTAGTCGCAAGACTACACACTTGGATACGCTGAACGCTAGAAGCCACTTGCTGGACCACGCAGCCAGCTTATTAACATCTTCCTGTAGCTTTTGCGCATCTTCAACGCAGCTGATTGTTTTCCAGATCTTTATATAATCCGCAAACATGATGCCATCGCATTCAAGGTCTGCAGGACAGTCATTTATATAGATGAGGAAGAGGAGAGGACCCAAGACTGAGCCCTGCGGAACGCCGCTTTTTACTGGCACCCATTCGGATGTAGTGGCACCAACGATGACTTTTTGGAGCCTGCATGACAGGAAACATTTAATCCAATTAAAAATGCTGCCCTGTATTCCACACTCCCAAATCTTCTGTAGGAGTCGTCCATGAGAAACGCTATCAAACGCCTTCTTACAGTCAAAGAAGATGACGTCCACTGGACGATCACCGTTGACAAAACACTAGGATTATCACCTTTGACCACTACTTATATGGGAGAGGAGCTACCGCAGTCTCAAGTGTCCCGCTCAATCAAAGGCAGCACAGCTTACGACAGTTGCGATAGGACCAATGTGGATGCATCCTACGTTTATCGCGCTCGATATAGACTATTAAAGCTGAAGATCAACCGCATTAGTCTGCATGCGGCTTCGTGCACGGTAGGATACCTTAGGACAGCGGCTAAGCGATCACAGGATACCGTCCCATAGTTTACCATACTTCCGGAACGACTTTTGAGGTCATGAGCGACAACAGTAGTCGGTATGCAGCTTACCCTATGACAGCATATTTGCGTAACGACCACCAGCCACATACGTCATCTGGTGCTCCGCGATCGGACGGTTTCCCTTACGGACAAACCGGCCAAATTGTTTTAGATTTGGAAAGGAACCATCGTGGTTGCAGACGTCATTTCACGCACTAGTTGGACTTTCCGCGACGCCCTAACATGGGCAGGCCCGAAGATCATTGTGTATTTCGATATTTAAAAACGATACCTCAGTTATCTCCCCGAGGCATTGTAGCGGAATTGCAGGAGGTTGCATAAACGGACGTTGTAGTGCCCTAATATTCGCCTTCGTTTCAAACGTACATCGGAATATACCGCATGCATTTAGAGTATTGTTATATATTCCAATACAAATGTAATATTAAAAAGGATAACTCTCGGCAACGTTGCGTTGGCTAGTGTCGTACATACCAACGAGCCATCATTGCCTTTTCCGCTTGCCGGCATTATACTTCCGTCAGCTTATTAACGTTTCACGTACATGGACTTCAATTCCGGGTCCTCCTAATTTCTTTGTTTACTTCAGCTGCGCTGAGGAGCAAACATTTTGACACAGGCCATACCACCCAACGGCCGCTGAATGGTTTACACCAATGTCATTTCAGCATTCTCCAACACAACGTCCTTTCAAAATACACAGCCAAATCTTGAGGATAGCGGTTCTTGTTAGGCGGCTATTTTCAAAAATAGTTCTCGCTCTTAACGACTTCATCTTCTTGCATCGAGGACACCGAAAAGCAAAACCATCCGAATATCGACTGCGTACTTGCGGTTTCATCCATTGGTGGCACTTGCACATCTTCTGTCTTGGCAACAATTTTCTTAGTTGGCAATACTCTGTCGCATGTTCCGAATTTAAATCAACCAATATTTGTTCGGTTTTGCTTTTATGGGTCACCGTAGTTCGGCGATTCGATTTGGCGATTGCGTCTACCGATCTACAAGAGTAACAAACATTTACTTCCCTCATAACTACAATTTCTACATATTTATTGCTAAGGACACATTCTGAGTCTGCATCAAATGAACAAAATACTATTATTCAGTTGCCTATTTTTCAAAAAAGCGCATTGCCATTAGCCTTTCATTTGCTTATTCGCTTACTGTGATAATTTCCTTGTTTCGATAATTGCTCGCGATGGATTAGGCATAATAGCGTTCGTAGCCATGGCAAACACGTAGACTAACTTTCCGTATCAGCAGCCCACACACGTACCCTACCACCCTCCCATTGGCGGAGGATGCCTTGGGCGTCTGAACTGACGTGCCCAAATGCCTGGCGGTTTGCTTAGAGTGGTTTGCGTTTACAACACTGCTAATTGTTTACTTCTCATTCACCGCACGCCTTTTCTTTGATATATAGCGATAAAGTAAAACTTTATCGCTCGAAAAGCAATTTTTCAGAAAATTCTTACCATTCTTGACTATTATCCACGCATTCAAAGGCCCCACCCATAAAACGCCTATTACCACATATACCATAAGACAGGCTGCCTTGGCTGGCGGTATTTTTTTGGGGGTCATCTCCCGTTTGCGCACAATTTTTTGTGTAAATGCCTTTTTTTCGCGTACACGTGGGATAGTTTTTCACGCCATTGACGGAGGACATTAAAAGCCCAGGATTTCTTGAGTAATCGACGAAAACATTGCAGTTTTCCTTTTTTGTCGTCATAGTTTTTCACAATCCACACTACCGAAATGAGACAGTCATTAAAGGATCTAGGCCACTGCATTTCTCGTTTGGAATTTATCTGACGATTTGGATCACACTTGCAGACTAACATAGAGATTGGGTATCACACTAAATGCCTGCTGCGAATGCCCCGTGACCAAATGGAGGAAATGCTCGATTTTAGACCTTCTTTATACTATGTGAATGCTCATGACATTTTAATGAATAAAGTGCACAACAAGGGGCTCCGAAAACTGAAAATGTTCAGTAGAAGTGCTAACTCATGAAATGTCAACCAAAATTTCCAAATGTGTTCTCGTTTCGAAAAGTTTAATTAAGTAGTCTTGTAAAACTAGTCATGATGAAGCATACATCTTTAATGCTTTAGTTACCTCAGGGTGTCGGCTTTCGAAAGAACTTATTTTCGGCTGCATGCAAGATCTATACTCTGCAAAAAAGACTACTTATGTAGGATGCAATTTTCTCATTAATTTTCGATGCCCTTGAAAATGCAATTATATTTCACGGAAAACATGCATAAAAATATTCATTCTTTTACTGATTCGGTAGAAAATCACGGCTTCTTCCAATTCCATACTCAAAAGAAGACTTTAAATCGGTTTTAAAAAGTTTCTAATTGTGAGATATTTTAATCCCGTTAAATGGCCGTTCATGAAACGTCATGTATCCGCATTTACGAATGTGGTTTGTAAAGTTAACAATATTGCTCAAATCCACTGCTTGATTTTATGAGCCTCATATGGTCTCCTCTTAACACCGTAGAGAAGTGCATGGTTTTCCGTACACGGAAAATATACAGCTTGCAGTTTTGAAACCCTGAATGCAAATGTAACAGCAGGTCGGGTTCAACATTATTCGGGAATTAGAAAAGATTTTTAAAACCGAAATACACTCTTCTTTTGAGTATGAAATTGGAAGAAGACGTGATTTTATACTGAATAAGTAAAAGAATGAATATCTTTATGCATGTTTTCCATGAAATATAATTGAATTTTCAAGGGCATCAAAAATCAATCAGAAAATTGCAGACTACATTAGTAGTCATTTTTGCAGAGTATAGATCTTGCCTGCAGCCGATAATAAGTTCTTTCAAAAGCCGACACCTTGGGGTAACTGGATCATTATAGATTTATGCTGCATCATGATTAGTTTTACAACACTACTTAATTTATCTTTTCGAAACGAGAACGCATTTGGAAATTTTGGTTAACATTTCATGAGTTAGCACATCTACTGTACCATAATAAAGAGAAAATTAACGCACTTAATATAGTGTTTGCGTATTCGACGTTCCCCCAACCGTTTTACGTTTCAATGTTTTTGGTAAAACTCCGACAGGTTTCACGCATTTTAACTTCTTCAGAGCGCAAATTGTGGTCAAATACCTTAAAATTTTCATTACACATTAACAAAGCCGAAAATTTAACTGGAGTCATTTAAGGCGTTTTCGATCAAATGCCCGCTCTGAATTGCTGTAGACTTGTTGATGTTCTTGGAATGTTTTGACTAATCATGTTGTTGTTCTGCCCTCCCACAGTTGCTGGCCTTAATAAAATTGTAAATTCGCATACCTATGTGTTGGCTATTTTAGATTCAACGGCCGCTGTTGGTCAAGGTAGAATGAAGGCGATTAATCAGACATCCCAGTTATCTGCGATTCTTGAGCTTATTTCGTCATTTTTAATAAGAAAATATTAGCGTTACCGTAAGGCCTCAGATGTGGAAATCTACTTCTTCCACAAAACCCAATAACTCAGCCATATCCGAGCTGTGTTGCTCAAATGAAATTCTGCGTTATGAGTAATAAATACCGACTTTATGAATTGCCAGATAAAGCACGTCATTTTACCCATTTCTGATACAATCAATTATTGGGTTCATGGCGAATAGTTGGTTGAATATATGGAATCAGTTTCAATGAGAGTCTTAGAATGTCCCAAAAACGGTCCGCGCCGTAGATGCCTTGAACCAACATAAGGACCAGATCCGAGCACGCTAGGCCTTATTGGGGGCGTGCATGTCTAACAAAAGCCACACATGGGAGGGATTGTGGTGGCTAGACTAGGTGCGGCCTCTTGCCGCCTTCTCACCGAATCCTGCCTTCTACGAAAGGCAGCCATCGTCGAAATTGACAAACTGTGATTTGAAGAAGAAGAAGAATCGAGCACCGGAACAATTCGTTTATTATCCTGAGCTTTCAGACTCGTACAGGAGTCCATCGTCAGAGGTAGTGGCAGAAACAGGACAAGCGGCAGTTATAAGGCACGTAGACCCAATCATCGACCGACGTCGCACGACTGGAGGTGACTACGAAGGGCTCTGTACGCCGGCGCCAGATCGATAAATCGATTGACCGAGTTCTCATCCGAGGCCCAGCAGCAACATACGAGCAGCTACGTTTTCTGCACCGATGTCTCCAAGACGAACTAATTCCACGATGCCTGAGATATAAAGCTCCAGTTAATACGGCCATGGGAAGAGAAGTTGTGAGGCGGTTTGTCAAACAGATGACAAGAGTTCTGATCGACGACTGTCACCGGCGTTTGCAGAAGTACAAGGCTGAGATCGAGGAGAACAGAAGGCAGTGTGTCCACACTCTCGGCGATTCTATCGCCGCAGATCTTGGGAAGACGATCTCTGCTCTGGCACACCACAGGCAAGCCAAGAAGAGAGAAGTTTTGGAACGGAAACTGACTAAGCTAAAACCACCAGGCACAGAAAGCTCAAACTTGGTCCACAACCTCTCGTCTAAGCAGCTAACAGAGCAGCAACTACGAGTGTTGCAGCATGAAACGTGTTTCAACACTGCAGATGCCGAATCTGTCGACTTCATTGCAGCCCTGGAAGCCATGCTTGTGCGAAGTGAAACATCCGACGACATGAAACACTCCGTCCGACAGCGTGTTACCTCTTTGCTGATGACACACAGACCAACCAAATGTATTTCACAGAGTGAGTCAAAGGCTATGAGAGAACTGAGGAGGGTCGACAGCATTATCATTCTACCTGCTGACAAGGGACGATCAACCGTCGTGATGAATAGAGAAGACTATAATGAAAAAGCTAAAGCCCTTCTTGATGACAGAGAATTTTACAGACCAGCACAGAAGTCGCAAGCCAAAGCAGTGGCAGATCGGCTGAGTAAACTGCTTAGAGAATACCGACATAAAAATGTGATCACGGAGAATGAATGGCACCAAATGAGGCCAACTGACACCGCTCTAGCCCGATTCTATGGTCTGCCAAAAATCCATAAAGCAAATGTCCCACTTCGGCCAATCGTTGCCCTCAAAGGCAGCCCCACCTACAACTTGGCAAAGTGGATGTACTCAAAACTGAAGTTCCTCCAAGGCAATTCGACTACCTCAGTTCGATCAGCCTCTCAATTCCTCATAGACCTCCGAGGTCGGAGAATTCAATCGGACGAAACCATGGTCTCCTTCGATGTGACATCGCTGTTCACATCTATCCCACCAAACGTGGCCCGCAAAGTCTTGCGCAAGAAACTTGAAGAGGCGTACGATGAGACTCAGAATGCCCTCAAAATTGAACACCTCATGAGGCTGTTTGAATTCTGCCAACAAACTTTCTTCACTTTTGCGGGAGAGACCTATGAACAAATCAAGGGAACCCCTATGGGCTCACCGGTCTCCGGTTTGGTGGCAGAACTGGTCCTACAGGAGTTGGAAAAGATTGCCTTCCTCCAACATGAACCGGTGTTTTGGCGACGTTACGTTGACGACACGTTCGTCATCGTAAAGAAGGACATGCTGCAACATTTTCACAGCCTGCTCAACGCAGTCTTCCCGGATATAAAATTCACGAGAGAAGAAGAACAGGAGCAGCAGTTGCCCTTCCTGGATGTGCTCGTCAGACGAAACCTTAACGGTGAACTTGAAACGACGGTTTATAAGAAGGCAACGAACATCACACAGCTTCTCAGTTTTCACAGCAACCATCCGGTGGCTCACAAACGAAGCTGTGTGAAGACGTTCTTCAAACGGATTCAAACTCATTGCAGCAAACCGGAGGACAGAGCGCGTGAGGCCCGTTATCTCCGCGACCAGTTTGTGCAAAATGGCTATCCGAGGGCATTCATAAGTCGCTGCCTACGCGGTCGCCACCAGAGAACTCAAACATCAACGCCACCGACGATATGGCATGCTCTGCCATACATCAAGGGTGTTTCAGAAGCGACCGAGCGCATTGCTGCGGAGCTAGGGGTTGGAATCGCACACCGCCCCAAAGCCACCATGCGCAACAGGGTCATGAAGATCAAAGACCGGTTAAAACCTGAAGAGCAATCTGGAGTAGTGTATCGCATTCCGTGTCAAAATTGTCTATGTAATTACACAGGACAGACTGGACGCATGCTCGGATCGCGCATACATGAACATAAGCTGGCTGTGCGGCGAGGCGACGCATTGTCACAAGTGGCCGCCCACACCTACGAAATGGGTCACGAGTTTGACTTCGCTGCCACCAAAATAGTCGCCCACGCCGGAAACAAAACAGGCCGAGAATTGATTGAAGCCTGGGCCTCGGATGAGAACTCGGTCAATCGATTTATCGATCTGGCGCCGGCGTACAGAGCCCTTCGTAGTCACCTTTCAGTCGTGCGACGTCGGTCGATGATTGGGTCTACGTGCCTTATAACTGCCGCTTGTCCTGTTTCTGCCACTACCTCTGACGATGGACTCCTGTACGAGTCTGAAAGCTCAGGATAATAAACGAATTGTTCCGGTGCTCGATTCTTCTTCTTCTTCAAATATGTATACACCTGGAACTCGAAATTTCGCCTACATTCGTGAAACTGTGATTTAGTCTGAAAGCTCTGTATTTTCGCTTCTCAATTTTTGCAAACGAACAGATGACTAATTCGTCTGTTCTGAATGTATGATCTTAGAAACTGCTGAGATGTCCCTGTTTCTTCAGCCCTTCGTATTCCCCAAGACTGTTAGTGTGAAAAGGGATGTGCGTATAACTTGTTTCGCAGCTTCGTATATGAATTCAGATATCCGACTGGTTGACTCTGCACCACGCTCTTTCGTCAAAATTTTGTGCGTTTAAACAAAAAGTGGAATGTTGACGAAGTTCTCACTTCTGCGCTTTTTTCGCCCGAGCAACCTTCGCCTGGAAGTAAATTTGTCTCATTAGAGATATATCATTTGTTCTCAAGGCAGGGTGGTGACATACTAATCTAAGTGTTTATTGAATTCTTCATGGCTGCCAATGACCGATATCGTGATTGGGGAGGAGACTGTGTGCATGAGAACCAGCCTCATTGTCCAATTAAAGGGCACCTAAGACAGCAAAATCTGAGTGGAGGCGTCCTAATGAAACTTGTCAGCGAAATTATAAACAGGCTCGTTGAAACCGGCAACAAGATGAATAAGGAAGTCAACAACAGTGAGCTTCAAGTCTTTTACGGCGCAGCGTTTAATTAAAAGTGCTACTACGAAATGTGTTTAATCGCCTCAAACAATATTTCCTCAAGATGCACTTGAAGCAAGCATAGACGGCAGAATTTATTAGGACCAGTAAAGTTCGCGACGGCTTATCAACTTCAGTCTGCCCTTGCATAACAGATAACAAATGGGAAAATGCAGAGGTTTGAACTTTACGGAGAAAATCAATATAAAACAGCAAGTTCATCGTATACTGTATGCAGACTAATCAATAAAATGGTAACTTGAAAGATGTAACATAGAACAGAAAACGAGGAATTTAACACACAGATGGATTGCGACAACCAAGAGGCTCAGATATACCAGGACAAGCTGAGGTTGATCAGGTGGTCTACCTGTTTGCATAGGTTGGGTCCCTCCCGCGGTATGTAGGCTGCCTTCAAGTGGAGCAATATCCGAGTTCTTTGTGCCGAACTAATGCTCAAAAAAATGTTTTGGGGCTAACCGCATGACCGCTATCTAGGAGGTGCTTTGTGATAGAAGACCGTGGAATTTTATTTTCCTGCTTTAGAAGTTATTTTGGCGGGTGCTCAAATGACCTGGCTGCCAATTGCCTTTGCGTTCGCTAATTAACTTGCATCCACAAGTACACCCATTGCCTGTGGAACTTGGTGCTTCAGAATTCGAGTTCACCTGAATTGTATGTTCTTTCAATGGTGCATCTCAATCGCTGCTTGACAAGCCGTCGCGAACTTTTTTGGTTCCAATTAATTCTGCTGTCTATGCTTGTTTTGTTTCTGTCGAGAATCATTAAAAATCGTATCTAAAGGTTGTAAACCTTTCTTCTGTAGCTGTTATCAAAACTGTGCATAATCGTGTCACCGCCTATATAATTTTTCAGCAGGACACGATGATAAGTAACCTAATTCATGGCAAATACCCTTGCGCTGTCTTTCAGGGCGGTACCTATTCCTGTGTATAAACATAAATCCAACAGTAGCCCTAACCCAACATTTTTACACTGGCCCTAGTCCACTGTGGGATTTAGTACGTGATTATCTGTAATACGTAGAGAGACCTATTTCTGTGTCCTGCGAGTGTTTATTAGATGTCCTCAAACAAAGAACCACTTTTTACTCAAGGCGAATGAATACTCTAAAAGCGTCAAACGAACATAATCCAACCTAGCACGTAAGCATGTTAGCTAGGGTCTATGTCATTAGGTAAAGTAGTAGTGCATTCACTTGGTAAAAAGTTTCTTTTGTGACCGTGATGGATAACCTTTCACTTGCATTCAGCAGTCAGAACTAGTAAGTGGTAAAATTACTTGGCTTTGAAGTATCCCCTCAGTCCTCGTGGGCTCATATTTTCTTGCTTATTGTTAAATCGCAAATACCGAATGTGAGTCTATAATTTCCTTTATATCTAGAGAGATTTTGTACATGGTAACTGCACTTAAAAAGACATATCCCGCAACAGGTCCTCGACCTTAACTTTGGCGTTCAAAACGCGTGAAAACAGTGTGAAAGGGACTGTGAAATTCCCAAAAATCAATATAGACTGCGACGCCCGACTCACAGAAAACTAGGGGACAAGATGACAGTGGGGATCAAACGACAATGAACGTGACGGCTGATCAGCCAACAGGCGATGACCATACACAAATTCAATAAATCAGTGAAGCGTCAGTTACGAGTGCGACATGAGACTGATAATTTTAGAACGGCGGTGCAGTCGAGATCTTGGAAGAGATGCTGGATATATGTCCGACAGACTAACATACACAAAGCGTACGGCGAATGGGACGAAGGAATTCGTAAAGATCGGATGGTAAAATTTAAGGCGATTTCTTTATCAATACACGTGAAAATCTGACTTTCGGGAGGCAACTACCTACTTAAGTGCGGACAGTCTACCAGTCGTCGCATTAACTACTGTCATCTGCGATCAGTGAGGAATCTACTAATTATGATAAACATGTCAGATCATCTAAATGCTGTAGTCCTTCAGCGTCTACTGCTCTTATTTGAAATCAGTAAGGGAGTGAATTTAGAGGGTCAGGTAACTAAACTTCTGGTTCTAATGGTTCAACCTGAATCTTTTTGACATATCGTTGACAAACCTCCTCCTTACCTCCCTTACATGGCTCACGGCACACGGTGGGACCTCGTAGCTCAGGTAGCCAGCGCGTTGGCTGCACACAAGCCTCCCACTTGCTGTCGTATGTTCGAATCCCACCGTGGTTATCGAGGTTTGCACAGATGGGTCAAAATATTCAAAATCTGCCGAAAGAGATATTAAGTGCGCCAATTCTTAACAGCAGCAGATTCTTCGGTTAGGGCCATCAACTGGTGCCTGGGGAACACGGAGAGAATGAACTCGACTCCGTTGACCCCATTCACACAGCACTTTAACCGATTCTACACTTCAGTAATTTCGACGCATTTGGAGCTATTATGACGCGCTTAACGTCGTGGCTCACAATGTTGCCAATAGATGGTACCACTAGGGCTTCGCAGTCAGCTCTGTGTGTGTGTTGGTATTAAGTGGTTTAGTTGTAGATTGAATCTGAATGCCCTTTTCTTCGTGTGGCCTTTATGGCACTCTCGTGCATTTGAGATCCCGGCTACTCATCACTTTTTGCGAAAATTTGGTGTTGTGTTTGGGCGGATCGTGCGTGGCACGCGCAGACGGGCTGTGTTGGTTCTCCCGGCCACTGCGCTCAATTTAAACATCAGATGACTGACTGGTTCCAATAGTCTGCCGAGATCTGAGAGAAGCAGCAGCGAGAGAGATCGACTTAGGGGACTGCGTCCCTACGAAACGCCCCTTAGCGTATATTCCCTAGTATAAAGAATCTGACGCGCTTGAATATACCACTGTGACCTAAAAGTCATGGCTTGGAAGGCTATCAACCAACGGGATAACTCGGTTCTATTCTCAGGACGGAGCATCAGGCTGCAAGGACTTCTTCGAACAGTGGTCTCAATGGCACTCACCTTCAACTGGGATCCGAATCGTTCAACGTTATGTTTGAAAAGCTGGTTCATCGTCCGTAGGTAGGTTGCTTATCTTCATTAACCAATGCACCCCTGGCCGAATCTGGTCTCCTTAACTTTGTCTTGACACTGGGCTCAGGTGAGTAAGGGACAAGGGAGAACGGTAATATCAGAGCAATTATACTATCCCTGTGAACTATTTCATGCTCAAGTCATCCTACTAGTAAAAATGCGATTTCCAGGTGGCCCAGTGGTTAGGAGCGTGGACTTCTAACTAACAGGTCGCGAGTTCGAGCCCCAGGCATTCGACACTTTGGGGTTGGGTATGGTTGCCTGACGACGGCTAATAAGCCAGAAATGGCCATTCCAGTCTCCCATGCCTTTGTCGGTAATAACATATTGCCTAGAAAATGCGACGTTCACCAGGAGAGGTGTATTGGAGGTCTAGCTTTTCGAGTAGACATTTCTTTTACCCATCTTCGTGGGATGGGTAGAAGAAACTTCTACTCGAGACGTCAAACCTTCAATACACCTATCCCGGCGAACGTTTTCTTTTCTTTTGACAAGCCCTCGTCTCTGAGTCCGCATGCCGTGGGAATACTCTCGTTCGCGATGGTCGAACTGTCGCAAGAAATTATTCGTTTTCTGAATAACCAACTGGTTTTCTCGCCCGAACCAAATTCACCAATTTCGGGTTCTTCGTGAGCAAAAATATTCAGGTTTTAGTAATGGACTTACATTAACTGACTGTGATTACGGCAACCAGTCGTTTGTGTGCTTGTTGACAATTCATCAGGTATATAGATTTTTGGTTATTGTTGTAACTGTATGCACTTTAGGATTTCGAGACCTGGTCTATGGCAAATGACGTGCCGTTTCAATGGCGATCCGCATCGCCTTCTATGGGCTCTTCAGTGTTCAATTCTGAAGGCAATGACTGTGTGTTTTTTTTCTGGATTGGGCAGTCTCAGTGGTCGCCTGGACATTTATACGAGACAATACGCAAGCTTCCCAAGCACATTTACCGGACGATTTAGCTTTTCGCGGACGAAATGAGATTCATAAAGGCACACTTATCTCCTTGTAATAGTTGCCAAATTATATTATTATTTGACTTAATTTTTGAAACTGTTACATTATTGACAAATTGCTCATCTGAGTGACAGTTGCGAAGGCAATTAACACCTAAGTGAGTTTACTAAGCCCTTTTGTAGGAATGAATTTCGGAAACTCCCCCAATAGCATTTATCTGCAAAACTGACATGTGTAACGCGTACCATACCCCATTAAATGCAATCAAATTCTCCGATTTGTAATCAA